AAAAAAAAAAGAAACTGTCCAAATGACCTGACTGAAAATTGTTGGATTGTATACCTGGATTATTGAGCATGGACTTTGTTGGTTACTAATATAAACTGTTTAAACTGAAGTACAGTTTTACTTTTATTTGAACCCCTGAGGACATGAACTGTGACACAAAACACTCACCTGTAGTACAAAGGCCCCACAGTCACTGTCGTTGTTTTGGCGACCCACATTCTGTAACACACCGTAAACACGTTACACTAACACTGGATATAAATGCACGGATTGCACAACTGCCCCAAAGCATCCTGAAAACACTCCAAATACCACAAAGCAACTTGCAGTCACTCCAAACACCCCAAAACACAAAGCAGACACTCCAAACACACCAAAACACAAAGCAGTCACTCCAAACACTCCAAAACACCCATCAGTCACTCCAAACACCCCAAAACACAAATCAGTCACTCCAAACACCCCAAAACACAAAACAGTCACTCCAAACACCCCAAAACACCCAGCAGTCATTCCAAACACCCCAAAACACACATCAGTCACTCCATACACCCCAAAACACAAAGCAGTCACTCCAAACACCCCAAAACACCCAACAGTCACTCCAAACACCCCAAAACACAAAGCAGTCACTCCAAACACCCCAAAACACCCAGCAGTCACTATAAATACCCCCAAAACATTCAGCAGTCACTACAAATACCCCCAAAACATTCAGCAGTCACTCCAAACGCCCCAAAACACCCAGCAGTCACTCCAAACACCCCAAAACACCCTGCAATCACTCCAAACACACCAAAACACCCTGCAATCACTCCACACACTCAAAAACACCCCACAGTTACTCATAACACCTCAAACCACTTAGCAATCGCTCCAAACAACTCAAAACACTCTGCAATCACCCCAAAACACTCAGCAGTCACTCCAAACACCCCAAAGCAAACTGCAAACACTCCAAACACCCTAAAGCAACCTACAAACACTCCAAACACCCTAAAGCAACCTACAAACACTCCAACCATTCCAAAACACCCTGCAGCCACTCCAAACACCTCAAAACACACTGCAATCACTCCAAATAGGGCTGGGCCATATCATATCTTTCACGATAATACGGGTTAAAAAAAAGCTTGCCCGGGCAAATAAATGATATCATGATATGCTAATTTCATGACGTAATACGTCAGGACGCCCCGCCCCGTTAACAGAACTGATCGCACCGAACGACCAAACCGAACTAGCCACCCCCCCCCAACACACACACACACGTCGGTACTGGTGTAACGCTAACTAGCTGCGCGCAATACTAACTAGCTAAAAAGCTAAAAACAACGCGCAGCTCAACTGTCTCTCCATTCAGCTCTAAACTGCAGGTACAAAGAGCTCAATTGTCCCCCCCCCGCTCTAAACTGTCAGTACAAACACGCAGGGAAATGAATCATTCCTGCAGGAACAGAGGAAGTTGAAACACCACAAGCTTCAGGGTCAGATGATCACCTTGTTACAAGTTTTGGAAGTTATAGCTCATTTAAAGGAAACATACGTTTGCTGTATGTTACATTTATGCGCAACAGATCTTAAGCTTTCAATTCTTGGTAGTTATTTTGGGAAACTTCACCTGCACTTTAGTTTTTGTGGTGGATTTATTGATCTATATTTTGGGCAGATTTTTCAATCTAAATAACAGAAGGATCATTTTTATTTTTATACTTGGAGACTGAATACTTTACTAAAAGTAATTTCAGTAAAATTACCCCTTGTTTTTTTTTTTTTTTTAATTTTATACAATACTGCAAACCAACATGCTTTTATCCTGATGCATGCTCAATAATCCAGGTAGAAAAATCTAAAAAAGTTAAATCTGGTCCTCTGGACATTCAAAAAAAACAAAACAAAGCAAATCAACAAAAAAATGTAGAAACGTTTCGTCTCTCATCCGAGAGACTTCCTCAGTCTGAGGAGCTGTATTCAGCTCAGTCTCTTAAATAGCACCGTCTCAGGGTGGATCAACCAGTTTTGCTGCTGACAACCAAAATCAGCTGATCACATGCTCAAGAAGGACCATCAGCCTAACAATGGATCATTAGCACACTGATGGCTGTTTACTGTTCACAGAGGGCTGAGTGATACTAGCAATCACAGCATTGTAAGAGGGGGACAGTTGAACCCGGAGGCTTCCACCCCTGTTTAATGATGGACGGTTTCTTTTCACAAAGATGGCCTCCTTTAC